ACAGTAATTGAAATCTCCGATGTTAAGTGCATTCTTGATCAGAACTTACGTGGCATTATCCAGTAGATAATATCCAGGCTCTTTTGACTTGGAAATGGATGGATGGATACACACACACACACACACACACACACACACACCGTATAAATAGTCAGGTATCCAGTGGCGGAGGAACCCTCTCCGACACCCAGGGCGGGGCAGCCTGTACGGAGCATGCATGTGCAGCATCCGTGTGCGTGCACTCCATATGGAATGCTGCACATGCACAGTCCATATGGGATGCCACACACGCGCACTCCATATGGGCTGCCGCTCGTGTGCAGTGGCTATACAGGCTGCCGCTTGCACAGCATCCATATGGGCTTCCGCTTGCATGGAGACCGTACGGGCTGTAACGCGAGCAGCATCCCATACGGAGTGTGCATGTACAGCAGCCCGTATGGACGCCATGCAAGTGGCATCCTGTATGGACTGTGCATGTGCGACATCCTGTACGGAATTGCACGAGCGACAGCCCGTACAGTCGCTATGCAGGAGGCAGCCCATACGGACACCCGTATGGATGGCGCATGAGAGCAGCAGCCCGTCCAGACTGTGCATGCCCTTGGCCGCTCTACAACTGGGGGGAGGCAGGGGCCATCTTCTCACCCACCCAGAGTGGCACCCGGGGCGAACCACCCCCTCCACACACCCCACTTTGTACGCCCCTGCAGGTATCTTGAGCACACTCGGGAGATAACTGACAGGCAACCTGCATTGCTTACAGGTCCAAAGTCTTCGACTAAAGATAGTCCAAAGCATTCTGCTACTTGAGACAGAAAATGCCAAATGCACCCTTTCATCACAACAATAACAAGTGAAGTACTCAATCTGCCACTTGAGATTGCTCCCTTACCCTACATAATGGTGGGTTTGGAGCCACTCATATGTGGGTTGTGGTCGTCCTTTCAGTACTCCTTAAAAGGAAGGAGAGAGAGTTATGCCAGCCTAGGCAGGATACCCCAACACTGAAAGGAGAAAGACATGGAGTGACCAATTGTCCAGCACTCACCATCTTCTACCCTTCAAAAACCTCTAGCCATCAACATACTATTGATTTATTGTGTGGCATGAACCAGAGGCCTGGCAGCTGACGCTTCTCTTTTCAGCAGCACGCCTAAAAAACAATTTAAAACTTATCTTAAAATGAAAAATCCTGGTGGGCTTCCAAGGCCCACAGGGCCTGGCCTTTGTGGTGTTCACACTGACTTGGATGGTTTCATAGGACTCTTGCTTCACTGGCACTTGGTGTCAGTGTTAGCAGGAACTACTAGTAAAAGGTTGTGGCTCCAGCATCCCTGCAAGGCTGATGATTAACTCCTTGCACCAATGCTGGGGCCACAAAGTTCCATTTCATGTAGTGTGTTTGTTTCCATGCCACAGCTTGCCTGGTCAGCCTGCTATATAAAGGACTGCAATCTATTCACCTGTTTGTGCGCCATGAAGATGAAAACCAGGGGCGAGGAATCTTTTTTCAGGGTCAGCCTTTGGGGGGGGGGGTGGAGCATACCAGTGTTGGACAGAGCCACAGGTAAAAGTTGGTAGGACCAGAGATAATGGCAAGTGGAGCAATGAGTGTGAATTGTACTTTTCCAGCAATGCAAAAGGCAGACGTCTCTATATCTATGCAAACATTACAGCTAGTCAAAAGGAGGAAGGATGGAACAGGGTCAGTGAAGGATGTCCCCTAGAGAGATGGGTGTGGCTAGAGAAGGTAACCTAGGGAGAATCACAAAGGCCGAACAATTGGAGGACATTTGGCCTGAGGTTCTGCACCCCAGTGTATTACATTACTACAAATAGACGCTCACAAATTATTATAATCCTGGATTATTCAGAGCCTTTTAAAAATGTACCATCAGCATGGAACTCACATTGGACCTCTGCTATTTGTCTCCACTGCTCATAAAAACCCACCTTGTCACCAGGCAGATAAAAACATTTTGTGTCTAAAACTACATGACCCTTCTCAGATTTCTCAGTGCGCTCCAACTAGACGTAATTGTGGCCTTCACTTCATCATATATGTAGTTCTCAAGTCTGGTGGGAATACAAATTCAGAAAAGACAAGATATTATTTTCTAGGCAAATGCAGCCTAAGGACTCATCAAGAATTCACTTTTGACTTATAGTTTAACATGTAAGAAAAACGATGCCCCAAATGGGAGTTCTGGGGCACTGAAATTAACCATTCTGGGGCTATCACATTTCCGGCCTCTTTATTCCATTTACATGTCGAATAACCGTATCTATCTACCGCAGAAACTCTGTTAGAATTATGTTTGCTCTCCCTGATTGGATTTGAAATGAAAAGTTGTCTCTCTCCATGGACTGATTCCTTTCACTGTCTAATCAACAGCATGGCCAGAATCCCAATTATAGGTTAGGGACTTGATGAATCTCCTTCAAGAATATTAATTTAATGGCTGAAATGCCAGCCAATAGAGTGAATGTATTATATTGGTCTTTGCTTCGGGGAACTGCATGCTGGTCTCTTTCTTTTAGAGTAAATCAGCCTTGAAAACAAAACTACAATGAATAAAACTATATACTCCATTCATTCTATAAAAAGGTAAATAATCAAGATGGAGAGAACGAGATCTGGGTTGTTGTTTTAAACAAAACTCAATCACATGATGATATTAAAAGCAATGGTGTGTCCTGTTTTAAATGACTCTTGAGTCTTAGGACATACCCACATATGAAAGTGTGTTAACATCTTTTCTAGATTATAGTTCTGCTCTCATTCATCTCGGAGTGTTTTTAAAAAATGTTAGGGCCTGATTCATATATCATTACCAGGGATTGTTATTATGAGAATGAGCAAATGGGAACCTTGGGCTCTCATGGGGTGCAATTCCCATCAGTATTGTGGCTGGGGAGGGAAGGGTTAAACTGTCGCTCTCTGTGCATTGCATTCCTGATGCAAATCCCCTCCAACTTATTATTATGAAAAAAAGAGAAATATTACACACTAAACATTTAAAATGCAGACAGCAAGGATTTTTGTATGGTTAGCCCTCCTGACCCATCCCTTCCCCCTAGAATTTCAGAAATTGTCTGCCCTTCCTCCTGCAAATGCCCCAAAATAGCATCTGAAAATATCTCCTCACCTCTAATCTCAGAGCATGCATCACTTGCAGCCTCAGAAGACCCAATGTTATAATGAATCTCCCTCCATGCATACGTTGCCCATCATTATAAGGGATCATTTTCTATTGTCAAAAATGAGTAAATAATACTTGTAGGCAAAGTCGTTCATGTACTGCTCCAGTAATTATTATTTTTTAAAAAAATTTAGGCACATCTGCACAAAACCACTGAGTCAGGACTAAGCCTTTTCAGAATCCAAATCCTCTTGGACAAATGTCAGTGTGTATTGCAGTTGATTTCAGCAAATGTTTCTGCTTCTGTAAATCACTGCTCTAAAGTCAAAGAGCCAACCAGGAGACCCAACACTGTAAGGAGTTGATGAGTAGTTAACAGAGCAATCCAAAGCCTGGGGAAAGAAGAACCATAAGCAGATGAGGCAAACTAGGCCATCTCCTGCTCAGTACAGAAAAATTGGCAACAGAGTACCTCCAATGGATATTCTTGTAGGCCTCCAACCAGCAGCAGTTGGCATGGTGGGCTGTTGATGCTCACCTGACCTCCTGACAGCTGAGTCTCTGCTGCTTACCAGGGCAGGGAGTGGTAAGGGTGAGGCAGTGGGGAGATTGTGAAATGCACTCCCCAAGGAGGCTCACCTGGCGCCTTCGTTACATATATTTAGGTGCCAGGGAAAAACTTTTCTCTGCAACCAGGTCTTGGGCTGATTTAACATTCCATGGCCTTGCAAATGTGTTTATGGGAGGGGGGTTATTGGTTTGTTTTTGTTTTATTATGTATTTTGTGTTCTCGCTTTGTATTTTTTATGCTATGAACCGCCCTGTAAATAATAATAATATAGGCAATCCTGCTCCCTGCAAGCTGGCTATTTAACTGAATGCTAAAATAACTACTTGGCGATGGTCATAAACATGTGGCTGATTCAGTTCACCTTACAGTAACACGTGTGTTGATTTGATTGTCTGGCAGTGTCAAACTGAAATGCTTGCGGTGATTATTTTCTGAGAAAGCACTGAAATGTGTGGACTGTAATTTGCCCCTTTCTCAAGCAATGGATGATAGATGAGTAATGTTGCATCGGGGTGAGGCACTCAACACAGCACTAATGCTTTCAGAGAAAGTAACTCCACAGGCTTCCTGAGAAATCAAGAAAAACCAGCGTGGCCTGGAGAAAAGTGAAACAGTGATTAGGTGAAACTCTCAGTGCAATAATTTCTGAGAAGAGATATCAAGTCCCCCTGTGCATCATCTTTGGCTGCTTCTTCCCACCCTTATTATCGCTCTTTCATTTGCATGAAACAAAACATGGCACTTCCTTCAGGGTGCTTTGATTACAAGACAAATCGAGCATGGAGAAAGATGGTTTCAGCCTGATAAAATTTTCACGAAGCTGAGGGCTCTTTATATCATAACCCATTATCACACCACACTTGAACTTTCTCATCCTGCGGCCACTCCTGTTTGAGTACTTATCCATTAAGGACATCGTGGCTCCCAATAAAAATCATTGCTTCTAGCCCAAGACTTTGGCATATTGGCTTGTTAGCAAGGGACAAGAAGCTAAATGGAACGTTCTGCTCACTGACAAGTAATAAATGTGAGTGCATGGATGTAACCTTCTGTCCACTGTCATAGATTAGCTATAGGCGGAGGGCTATAATCAATTAAATCTTTGCTCTAGCAGAAGGCAGTGCAATTACAGTGGTACCTCGGGTTACATACGCTTCAGGTTACAGACTCCACCAGAAATCGTACCTCGGATTAAGAACTTTGCTCAGCGGCAGTGGGAGGCCCCATTAGCTAAATTGGTGCTTCAGGTTAAGAACAGTTTCAAGTTAAGAACAGACCTCCAGAACAAATTAAGTTCTTAATACAGGTACCACTGTAGTTTTGTTGGCAAGCAACAAAAATACAGTGGTACCTGTATTAAGAACTTAATTGCCAACAAAGGTCCATATAGTTAAAGCTATGGTTTTCCCAGTAGTGATGTATGGAAGTGAAAGCTGGACCATAAAGAAGGCTGATCACCGAAGAATTGATGCTTTTGAATTATGGTGCTGGAGGAGACTCTCGAGAGTCCCATGGACTGCAAGAAGATCAAACCTATCCATTCTTAAGGAAATCAGCCCTGAGTGCTCACTGGAAGGACAGATCGTGAAGCTGAGGCTCCAATACTTTGGCCACCTCATGAGAAGAGAAGACTCCCTGGAAAAGACCCTGATGTTGGGAAAGATGGAGGGCACCAGGAGAAGGGGACGACAGAGGACGAGATGGTTGGACAGTGCTCTCGAAGCTACCAGCATGAGTTTGACTAAACTGCGGGAGGCAGTGGAAGACAGGAGTGCCTGGCGTGCTCTGGTCCATGGGGCCACGAAGAGTCGGACACGACCAAACGACTAAACAACAACACAGTATTTTTGCTACTGCAACAGGACTCCCCCCCTGCCCCTTCATCCACCCTCCCCAAATCTGCTCCAGAGGGCCAGGAGAACCCCCCCCCCCCAGAACAGCAGGTGAGGGGACGAAGTGGGAAAGTGCTATTAGGAATAGTTGCTCTGGCTCCCTAATCAGGGAGCCCTCCACATGGCAACAATTGTTGCAGGTCCCATTTGTCCATGAACTGTATTCAACATTGCACTAAGGAGATTGTTCCATCAGCACAGGTTGTTGCCTTGTGGAGGGCTCCCTGATTAGGATTCCAGTCACTCCACTCCATTCCAGTGCTCTTCACCCTCTCTTTTATTCCCCCTCTCCAAAAACCAGGGACCACTCCAAAAACCAGTGCTCAGGGGCCACTGAGCACGCATGGTCTCACTGATTTCCCCCCAAAAAAACTTTAAAAAGAAAAAGAAAAAGAAAAAAAAGAATGTGCATGGATGGTAATGTTTTGGTTACATAAACAACAGCCCTTACAGCCTTTATGTCAGAAAGAGAGGAAATTATATAGCAAAGGCCTTTTTTTTTCCCTGCTATGCAAACTATGGGGGGGAAATCTGCTATTCAATGGGGATTAAGTTTCACTGGTGAGAATCCCATTATTTTCAACCTCTTGGAAGACATAATTTTAAAAGCACTCCCTTTTAGATGGGAACCGAGAAAAAAACATTGTGGCTGAATAGTGGAGAAGCACTTTGAATCTTTAGAATTTGAGGTGAGGAAAATAGTTGAATACGATTTGTATAAGATTCGTCATGACCAAAGGTACTATGGAAGTAACAAGATCTGTATGCTTGCTGTTCATCTGATCAGCTTGTACATTTGTTCATGGTGTTTAAGAAAATTTTAAAGGTTCAGAACACTGTGTTAAATGGGGAACTCAACCTGTAAACTTGTGCTGTTGAAGAATGGGAGAAAAACAGCACAATTTGAATGTGTGTGCATTAGCACCCAAAGTCTGCAAGTGTAAAGAACTGTCAGGAAAAGAAGGGAGACAGTGACATCAAGCGAAAGGCATTAAAAACCTACCAAACCCTCTGAAAAAGGATTGCAACCTTTGGTCTGAAAAAAAATATGTGATGATCATTTTCCACTTACGTAATTTGGAAAACTGCAGGCTAATACCAAAAGAAACTGGAGCTCCACAAACTCCTCTTTCTGCATCAAGGAGGATTACGTGGAAGCAACAGGGTAGGAATAACTGTGGATTAACTGCCCATTCATATAAGCAATGCATGTGGAATTAAATAAAAGGGTTACCACAACAGACCGGCAGATAAATTTTGTAACATGGAGGGAAGCCACAGATTAGGGGAACAGCTACCAGGAAGTGACTCAGCACAAGCCGTATAGAGATAGGACAGGGGGGACAGAGAGTTAAGAGTTGAAAGCAAGCCTGTTTAAATAAAGTTATTCATTACTTCCTTACTAAACATAATTTCTGAATTGGTATATGGGTCAAACACCTGCAAGGAACAGTGTTTGTGGACACACATGACAGTTACCCAGCATTCCTAACTGCGTATGTAAACAAATCCGCTATCTTTTACTTTTTTATAATATTTTTTATTAATTTCTCATTAATAACAATCCAATATAGGCAACGTTAGTACAATACCAAATCATAATTTAATTTAAAAAGTCAATTGTCAGATTCCAAATTAAACATTTTGGTTGACTTCCCATGTTCTGATTTTAGGAGATTTTTAAGAGATGTTGATTCCTTGTTCCTGCTCCAATCTTCTTATTTAATCCAAATAATACAGTTCCAATGTTGATCCTTTATTTTAACAGCCACTGGTGTGTTGACTTTCGTTCGTATTTAACTGTTCCATATCCTTTAATTTGCAAGAGGAGTTTATATCTGGTAACTTTCTGTGTGGAATTTTTTAAAAACAACAACAACAACAACAACAACAACAACAACGTTTCTTATTGCAATCAATCATTTTCGGCATTTCCCCTCTACTCCAAGGACTCAGTTTTACTGTGTAGTGACCTTTCGCCATCTTGCTTTTCTTAAAACCGAAAGTGGTCTGACGTCTTGTGTCCGGCCATTACTCCAGGCAGACTTCTAGCGTTTTCTTTGAATACTTTCCCATCCGATAACAAGCCTCTATCTATTTCACACTGATGCCTTGCCTTGCCATAATTTCTTCTTCTCATATTCCAAGGCAGACATTCAGGGCTACTTTAGCTACGAGCCAGAGCTTCTTGGCCAAACATTTTCTTCCATTGTGTACCATGGCTCTTGAAGGCGATCACCTTCACCGTGGACTCAGATTCACCTCAGAGATTGAGCTCAGCAACAAAAGGATGATGGGAGCTGAAGCCCAGCATGATCCAAAAGACACCACATTGGCTAATCCCGCTCTGATGGTTTGCTGCCGTGATGAGGAACAGTGCCTTTACAAAAAGGAAAAGTGCATATGGATGAACCATCATTTCTAAGGAAGGCATTACCTTAATCTAATTAGCAAGAACAATAATGTTAGGAGTTGACGCAAGTGGAAACTGCTTCATTATCAACCATTACGCTTCTGGACAAGTACCTTATACAAAACAACACTCAACGTACAAAGGCAAGATTCGAGCTCCAAATACTGCTATAAATCAGTGGTATCCCACGAGTTTCTAGATGGTTAATGGGGAAAGTGGCGTGAATTACTGTTTAACAGGGACATTGAATCTTCAAATGAACTGCATGCCCACATTTCTAATAGCTGAAAGCTGTAGCCAGGCGTAATAAAAATAATTGAAATGAGCTCTTGAACCTATTCGTCTAGATGTGAAGTAGCTAAAAGAACAAGAGAAGCATCTTCTTAAAAAATTGTCCAAGTGTATATGTCGTCTACATGTAGGCAATATTTGCTCCAAATGGCCTTCATTACCGCTAATAATACAGGATAAAGAGCAAAGAATTAAACATAAAACTTGAAATAATTTTTATTACTTGGAAAGACATGCATGCACTGGACTGCTTTGACATTCCACATTATCATTGCTCAATCTGCCGTTCCTTATGGGAAAACAGAATGCAATAGTGTATACTAATTAAAAAGTATCCAACTACTGAATGTGGAGAACTTGAATCTGAGGTCGTTTCATTCTGATAAAATTTCAGTTTGAATACCCTCATATATGATGAGGCAAAGAAATAGCACTTACAGTCGTACCTTGGATCCTGAACGCCTTGGTACTTGGACATTTTGGCTCCCGGAAGTGAGTGTTCCAGTTTGCAAACGTTCTTTGGAACCCAAATGTCCGACAGGGCTTCTGCGGCTTCTGATTGGCTGCAGGAAGCCACGCTTTAGTTTCCAAACATTTTGGAAGTTGAATGGACTTCCGGAACAGATGCCTTTCAACTTCCAAGGTGCGACTCTATTTTAAAAGAAGGAACCCCATTGTACAACGTAAGTCCACTCTGATGGCTAAATGTTAGATGTTATTTCAGCAGTAGCAGACATTGGTGGGGTGTGTTAACCTGAACTCCAGGGAGGAGTTATGCTTACTGACCTCCCATCACTGGCATAGCTGTGGCTTACCTAAAGGGGGAAATAGAGACATGTGCAGCATGCTGCAATTCACTGGTGGGAATGCCAGATTGTCTCTGCCAGCATGTTTGCAACTCATCAACCACACCATTGCCTTCCCCCCTTCAGGTAACCCTCCAAGATGTCAGTGATGGGAGGTTAGGTGAGTGTACCCCTCTATGCACTGCTGACAGGAATCCTGCCCCCCTAAATGGGCCTGATTCCAAATATGGCTTTGATTCTACATAAGACTGAAACCTCAATTTCCCATTTTAAATGCAGAGAACAGAGAATGGGAAACAGCTGGACACAATCACTCTCAAAAGTAGTTATTTGCCATATTTATTCAGCAGTGGACTTTTACTAAAGTCACATAATCAGAAGTGCTTATATGGTATACATAGAGTAAGTAAACATCTTGAACATTTTCGCCTTGAAATTGCACCAGGAAGGAGAGAGGAAATGAAACCAAAGCAAGAACAAATTTATACAATAATCCATGTTGGCTTTGTTTATTTGCAGTAAGGAAACTTTCCAGGGGAGCCACAATAGCTGGTGGCTAGAGCATGCTGCTGTCTGAATGTCATTATACTTATTTTTAGCTACATCATGAACCTTAAATAGCTATCATGGCCTTAAAATAGGTGTGTGCCCCCCCCCCCCGCCTTATGCAGCATAAGATCAAAAGTTATTTGTTTCATGCTGAAATGGGGCTGGGAAACCCTGATAACTTGCAAAGGGCAAATTCACATAGTGTCACCATGAGAGTTTCTCAATGAAATGTATAAATTGTTTTGACTAAAAGAACAAGGTTTTTTATTATGGTGAGGGTAGAAGGAAATCTAAAAGTAGCTATCAAATGAGAGGGGAAATGTCATTTTTATTTCTAAAGTAGCAATGTCCTTTTCCAGGAAAAATAAGCAATAGTTCACTTGATCTCCCGAGCATTCGTTCCTAATTCACTAGAAGACCCC